TCATAATATTACAATACAGCTGGAACGTTGTTGTTCGCTGTACAATAGATCTAAAGATAAGTTCAAATTAATAACACTCATACGCACCGATGAACCAACAATTTTTACGAGTACATCAGAGTCTTTGTTGTCGGATGGTTTTTTTTATTTTTTTTTTAACTCCACTCTTTTTGTTTGTTTTTGTTTATTAATAATTTCTATGCAAATGATTTTTTGATAAGAGTATGTGTGCATGTTTTTTTGGATTATTAATAAAAAAAAAATTAAACAAAAAATTTAAATTAAATTTTTATACAATTTCACATTAAAAATAAATTAAATAACTGCTATTCATTCATATATAGTGCGTATAAAATGTATTAAAAAAAGTCCACAAAAGGCTGTATAATAAAGAAGATAAAGTATGAGTGGCATAAAGAAGGAGGGGGTGGGGTGTTTGTAGTATAAATGTGTTTGTTTAATACAGTTTGCATTAAAATACACAAACAACATTGCCTTGCATATTACATTAATACATTTATATGTATATCTTTGGAAATGTATAAGTATGTAGGAGTAATTTGTTTGTTCATTTCTGTGTTTGTGCTCTGGTGTATTGATGTATGCATGCATGAAATGACATTATGCATTATATCTCGTAAATACTTAATTGTGTTTAATAATTGAGTTATTCTGCGTTTTATTTGTATTTAATGCTCACATATGCCAAAATAAAATAATATCCATACATTCACACTTACACACATATTCTAGTGCTATATAACCTTTTGCCCCATAATATTTCATTTTCCAAAGAGATTTTCTGTTAAAATCTACACTTAAATTCAAACAAATGCATTTGGGGTTTTGTTGCAACAACCAAGCAAAAGTCACACCAGCTCTACCTCGAATGTCACACACACACACACACACATACATACATACACATTCGTATATACTATACTGTTAAAATAACAATCAAGTGTTTGTTGGTACTAAATTTAACGACATCAACGAGGAAAGGCTTGCAAAATACTATTTAAAGTACAGGTTTTGTAACGCCATGTCAAACTCGTTGTGTAAGTAAGTTAAATATGTATGTGTGTATATGTTTATATAGTAGACTAGTTTATATTGAAGAAATACTGTTCCGAATCGGTCGGATCCGTTGAAAAAGCAATTCAAAGAAATATTTTTTTTGTTTCTGGCAAAAATGCCGGAAAATTCAAAATTTACTTCGTTATATATTCCGGGTCCTTATTAAACTCTAAGACGATCGAATTTCATCGCTATATAGACGAACGTCCGTTCGTCTGTCTGTCTGTTGAAAGCACGATAGAGTCTGAAGGGAACGAGATAGAGGATTGAAATTTTCCACAAATATTCTCTATAGGTAAGGTTTGTTTGGGCAATATCGGTTCACGGTTCACATAAGTTTCAATGTAGCCAAAATCTCTATATAAAGTTTTATGTGGATCGGTTCATAGTCCTACCCCCTATAAGGTCCCCTTCAAAAAATTTGTTCACCGCTCATTACTGGCTTAAAAATACAAGTATAAGGTAAGTTTTGTTTGGTATTGAAAATGGGCAATATCGGTTCACGTTTTCGGATAGCCCCCATACAAGTGGACCCCCGCAAAACAACTTTAATGGGCATATCTGTTTCAAAAGTACGAGTATAGCGAAGAAATTCGACATAAATAAGTTTCATATGATCGGTCCATAATTGACACTACCCTCCATATAAGGTTCCCTTAAGAAAATGATTTTAACGCTCATTACTGGCTTAAAAATACGAGTATAGTGATACAATTTAACACACATAAGTTTCATATGATCCAAAATCTCCCTACCTAATTTTATGTTGATCGGTCTATAATTGACCCATATCCCTCATATAAAGTTTCCTTCAGAATATGACATTAACTCTCATTACTGGCTTAAAAATACGAGTATAGTGATGAAATTCGACACACATAAGTTTCAATGAAGCCAAAATCTCTTTATCAAACTTTATGTGGATCGGTCCATAATTGACCTGAACTGAAATATTTCTTTTTGCACTCCTGTTTTGAGGTATTTTCGAAGCAATTCATTACTGTTGAATTGTTTCCATAATTTCGAAGACCGTAGCGCTCTAGCTTCATTCAGAACCAATTGTGTTTTCAAGAAACAGAAGAACGTTAGCTCGATTATCTTGTAATCAAATAAGGATCCATAAAATATATACTTTTGTATATAAAGCTTTAGATAAGTTTAAACTCTTCTTATAAAAACTTCCGCTCTCTAGAATCTCTTATTCGGACTCAAACGTGCTTTTAACAGAAGGACGTACATGTTCGGTATATTTCCCTTAACATTTTTGCTTTTTTGTTACTTTAAAAATTCTTTAAATAACTTTTTCATAGCACCCTACTATACATTGAAGTGTGTTCGTTATTGTGTTCAAGTTGTTGCAAACAAAAACCAAAATAAACAGGCGCCATTAATGCAATTTGTAAGTCATACAGACACTGGGAAAAAAACATCCTTCCAACAGTTATGGCGCACAGTAGTTTCAAAATTGTTTAATAAAACAAACGTAAATTTGTTTTTCTATTTATGTATAAGTTTTGGACTATAGATTCGTAATTGCGCACCAAAAGCTATTCTAAGATGAGATGGATAACACAAATTTTAACAAAAAAGGAATTCACTATAGGTCGAAAATAGTGAAACCCCAAAAATAGTCTTCAGCCAAGCTGTTGGAAAAGGTTTACCGAAACATATATTTTAAAATTTTGATTTTCTTAAACTATTTCGATTTGTTTTAATTACACTTTTTACTCCACTGTATATCGTTGAAAATCATGAGACAATCACATGAGTTAAACATAAACCAAACAACAATAACACATACTTTAGCATTTTGTCTTATTTACTTGTTGTTGTTGTTTTTTTTTTTTGACTGCGATAACTGCATAAAAGTGCAACAGTTTTTGGATGCAAACACTCCAACATACTTCAGCAAAGGTATACAGACTACTCTCCAATATAAACCCAACAAACACAAAATGTTCGAAATATATGTACTTTGTTTACTTCTTGATATAATAACTGTTTTAAGAGGGATTTTAAACTTTGATTTAAGATTTGTTTACAAATGTTTGCTGAGTAATATTTGTCACTGTAGTGTGTATTTTAATGTTATTTGTATGTAATTGTGCATTCATACATATGTATACATTGGCTGGCATATTAAAACGTTTTATAGTCCTCTACACATTTTACAAATATTAAATTGTACTACAGTGGGGTGTGCATTATGGGTTTGTGGTGATGTATGTAACGCTGTCCGTTCATGTTAACGTTGTAATCAAACTGCAGGTCGCAATTTTTAATTCAATTTGCATTTTCACATTTTCTTGACCCATAGACGAACCGTATTGAAAATTATTTAAATCCTGAATAGGGCTTTGAAGCTCGTAAACTTAATTTTATAAAATCTTTAATAATACTTCGGATTTTTGTAATGTACGCGGGTCATTTGACCCCATAGCCCCCATGTAAAGTCTTCCTCAAAAAAGGCTTAAACGCCCTTAGCTTCCTTTCAAACAGGCTCTTCAGAAAATCAGTTTTCCATCAAAACAAATGATTTATTACAAAATGTATCACATTTTAAATATACTCATAACTAATGTAGGTTATTATGTGGCCGGCTATGCCCGACTATACAGTCTAATTTGTTTTTATTTTTTTTTGTAATATTGTTGCCAAACTGGGCAAATTGTGGGAGTGAGTTTTTATTTTGGCAAAAATATATTTAAGAGCCAGTGTCTGTTGGCTCCCCCTTTGCTACAAGTTGCGAGAGATATAAAAGATTAAACTGGTGTAGTGTGTAAAGTGCATTGTGGCAAATATCAATGTTATTATCATTTAACTAGAACAAACATACCACGCATTTGTATTCCTTTTGCCTCCCAACAGCTATTTTAGTGCTGTCCGTCTGTTGGCTCTGGCGGCCGTTTGTCTGTCGCTTTATTGTGTCTGCCACAGTTTCTGTGTCATTTGTAGAGGCCATTAGCATCAATGCCATGATTTTAATCAAATTTTATCAACCACTATGAATGTACGCATATTGGTGGTTTTTAAAAACTGTCTGATTTTATTCTTTTCTTTTCCATACACTGCCTTTTAGTTATTTTACCTGAAACCATTATTAAGTTGGAATTTTAATTTTTTTTTTTTTGTTTGATGAAATCCTTGTTGTGGTCAGTTAATTTTTCCTTTATTTTTTTTTTTTAATTTTCATTAAAAAGAAAAGTAGCTTAAGTTGTACTTTAATTAGGAGTAATAAAGTAGTATTTAACAGACGTGTTCATTTTCGTAAAATCATTTTCTTTTACTTAAAATGTGTGCTTATTTCTTTTAATTTTCATTTAAAGGATATTTTACGTCAGTAAATAAATCGCCGGCATACAATTTTGTGGTTGAGATTTTATTTGTATGATTGCTTAAGTGTATTGGTGTGTATGTGTGTGATTTAATTCCATACCTGTTTAATGTGTGCATGTGTCAGTGTTAAATACAAGATTGGTCATAAAGTTGTATGAAAAAAAGTATTAATAAAATAAACAAGATTTTAGAAGGGGTATTCAGTTAATGTTTAAAAATAATTTTTTAAACTACTCCATTGTGGGATGAACTAAATAGATGCCACATTCTCCTGAATACCCATAATATTTTTTGGTCAATGTTTTAATCAACACATCAACACTTTACTCATACACACATACATAAATATAAATATGTATGTATGTACTTTTTCAACACAAACGCCTATGGACATCCATAAAAGATTTTTAATATAGTCCGACTATAACATCTTCTGGCAAATGTATTTAAGTATATAAACATACAGTTATACATATGTATGTATGTTTATTTGTGTGTATGTGTTTGTGTAAGTGTGCGTAAAATGCTTTTAAGTTCACTTAATGTGTTAATAAGGTGGTAAATTTCCTTTTCATTATTCATTGCAGTTTTCATCATGCCAGAAGAAATTGTATTTTCAACACAACCAGTAAATGCAACCATTATGAACTCATAAGACCTCACTCTACATTCAACCCTTACTTCCCTCCTTTAAGACAATTTTGTTGTCACGCAAATACAGTTAAATGGAATGTAACAACACATGCAGACACACACCCGTAACAATGTATGTAATATTTTAATTGTTTTTGTAAGTATGAGTAAATAACCGGAAACGGAGTTTTAAAAAACAGGTTGTACAAAATTAAACAATTGGAATTGTGAAAAAAGCTGCTTTAATTCTTATTGTCTTTTTAAATACTGCAGATATTGTTCCTTTAGTTAATTGTCACGGTATAAATTTCAAATGAAATAAACATAAGCATAAAAATATTAAATTTTCAGCACATTTATGCTGTGTAAATTAGGAGGGATCAAAAAAGTGCTGTTACATTCAACAGTTTTTTCATGTTTAAGTATATTAAATTTTTGAACACACTAGAAGGCTTATGTTTAAACATGCTTATTTAAAAATGTTCATTAACACAAAATAAAAATAATTTATTTTTTAAATATTCAAAAACATACCTGTTCATTACGATTATATGGCCCTTCGTGGCGGTTGCCATTAGTTTTAAACCCTCACGCAAACAGATGGTTGTTGCGTAAACATTAAGATCATATAAATCCTTTAGCTCCTTCGATGTTGATTCTTAAAATGTTCACAAAATAAAAAAATATTATATTCTGTTATAGTTCAGTTCTAGTTTAGTTCTAGTTCAGTTCTAGTTCAGTTCTACTTCAGTTCTAGTTCAGTTCTAGTTCAGTTCAAGTTCAGTTCTAGTTCAGTTCTAGTTCAGTTCTAGTTCAGTTCTAGTTCAGTTCTAGTTCAGTTCTAGTTCAGTTCTAGTTCAGTTCTAGTTCAGTTCTAGTTCAGTTCTAGTTCAGTTCTAGTTCAGTTCTAGTTCAGTTCTAGTTCAGTTCTAGTTCAGTTCTAGTTCAGTTCTAGTTAGTTCAGTTCTAGTTCAGTTCTAGTTCAGTTCTAGTTCAGTTCTAGTTCAGTTCTAGTTCAGTTCTAGTTCAGTTCTAGTTCAGTTCTAGTTCAGTTCTAGTTCAGTTCTAGTTCAGTTCTAGTTCAGTTCTAGTTCAGTTCTAGTTCAGTTCTAGTTCAGTTCTAGTTCAGTTCTAGTTCAGTTCTAGTTCAGTTCTAGTTCAGTTCTAGTTCAGTTCTAGTTCAGTTCTAGTTCAGTTCTAGTTCAGTTCTAGTTCAGTTCTAGTTCAGTTCTAGTTCAGTTCTAGTTCAGTTCTAGTTCAGTTCTAGTTCAGTTCTAGTTCAGTTCTAGTTCAGTTCTAGTTCAGTTCTAGTTCAGTTCTAGTTCAGTTCTAGTTCAGTTCTAGTTCAGTTCTAGTTCAGTTCTAGTTCAGTTCTAGTTCAGTTCTAGTTCAGTTCTAGTTCAGTTCTAGTTCAGTTCTAGTTCAGTTCTAGTTCAGTTCTAGTTCAGTTCTAGTTCAGTTCTAGTTCAGTTCTAGTTCAGTTCTAGTTCAGTTCTAGTTCAGTTCTAGTTCAGTTCTAGTTCTAGTTCAGTTCTAGTTCAGTTCTAGTTCAGTTCTAGTTCAGTTCTAGTTCAGTTCTAGTTCAGTTCTAGTTCAGTTCTAGTTCAGTTCTAGTTCAGTTCTAGTTCAGTTCTAGTTCAGTTCTAGTTCAGTTCTAGTTCAGTTCTAGTTCAGTTCTAGTTCAGTTCTAGTTCTAGTTCAGTTCAGTTCTAGTTTAATTCTAGTTGAATTCTTGCTCAATTCTTGTTCAATTATAATTCAAATTTAGTTCTTCTTTCATTCTAAGCAATATGCCCAGGATAATAAGTATGTCATGGGATAATTGATAAGTCATGGACTGTTTAAAAAAATCTTTTTTTACATACCAGTTAAAAAATTGGCTCTAATTATGCCGGCATTACAAATCAATATGCTAATTGTCCCATAAGTAGTGCGTATCATATTAAATGCTTCCAAAATACTGTCTTCTTCACTCAAGTCACAATGGTGAGAGACAATTTTACCATCACCTTCAATGTCTTTGTTGAGATCCTGAGTGTAATAAAATATTATTTAGAAATTTATTCAAAATGTGTTCACAAATTAAGAATCCATTTTTCATGGAAATTTATCACTTCGCTATTTTCTTTATGCAGATTTTTGAAAGAATCAGGTGATATCTTTTAATGTCATATAAATATGCATTATAATTTAACAGTTATTCAGGTCCTAGAGCCGATTTAACATTTGATATCCTTATTTGGGTCATCTTAAATTTTCTATTAATTACTTTATATCCTTTGAACCTTTTTATCATTTTAGAACATCTCCATTCCCATTTCAACTTACATCTATCAAGTTTGTGCGACGCGCCAAACCAATAACAATTACACCAGCATTTGCCAATTTTATAGCAATTTTAGCTCCAATTCCACTTGAAGCTCCTGTTATAACAGCCACTTTCGTTTGCCAAAATTCAGACATACTCTTTGCTGTCTGACCACTTTTAACACAAATATTTAAATAGCAAAATTGCGACCGTTAATTGATAAATGACAATTACTTGCTTTGACAACCCGTTGAAAACTACACACAGTACAGTTAAAGTAGCAATGTAATATAAATTCGAAATCTGTGATCTTTGATCACAAATTAAAAATGTGAGTACTTGCTTACATTTTTACTCTCAATAAAAATTTAAACTCATACAATTATAAGTATCTCCATATAAAAAGATAATAGTAGTATTAAATTTCCTTTAATTTGTGTGTAAAAGTATAAAAAAAGTATTTAATTGCAAACAATGTGTTTAAATGTATGAGTTTGAATTTGTTTGTTAGTATGTGTGAGCTGGCAATTTTGCAATTTAATTTTTTATCGTGTCACTTTTGTCATGACAAAACCGCAGTATTTCATTTATAACTGTTTTTGTTCATTGATTCATTTTAACTTACTCTTCTCTGTTCTCTAGTCTTTCACCCCCTTGGTTATTTATTATCGATGTTTGTGGGAGTATTTAAGTGGGTAACGAACGGGTTTCAGTGGGGGATTTTCGCAAATCTCTTTTCAATTGGAATAAAGTTTTTGCGCACTATAGGTAGGAAATTTATAACAATTAGTTGGGGTTTTAATTGGAAACATCAAAGTTGTTTTAGTTTAAAATTATTTTTAATTAAATTATTAATTTCGCTTAACGACTTGGAAAAGTTTCATTTCAATTTTAGTTCTGTTCTAGTTTCATTTCAATTTTAGTTCTGTTCTAGTTTCATTTCAATTTTAGTTCTGTTCTAGTTCTAGTTCTGTTCTAGTTCTGTTCTAGTTCTGTTCTAGTTCTAGTTCTGTTCTAGTTCTAGTTCTGTTCTAGTTCTGTTCTAGTTCTGTTCTAGTTCTGTTCTAGTTCTGTTCTAGTTCTGTTCTAGTTCTGTTCTAGTTCTGTTCTAGTTCTGTTCTAGTTCTGTTCTAGTTCTGTTCTAGTTCTGTTCTAGTTCTGTTCTAGTTCTGTTCTAGTTCTGTTCTAGTTCTGTTCTAGTTCTGTTCTAGTTCTGTTCTAGTTCTGTTCTAGTTCTGTTCTAGTTCTGTTCTAGTTCTGTTCTAGTTCTGTTCTAGTTCTGTTCTAGTTCTGTTCTAGTTCTGTTCTAGTTCTGTTCTAGTTCTGTTCTAGTTCTGTTCTAGTTCTGTTCTAGTTCTGTTCTAGTTCTGTTCTAGTTCTGTTCTAGTTCTGTTCTAGTTCTGTTCTAGTTCTGTTCTAGTTCTGTTCTAGTTCTGTTCTAGTTCTGTTCTAGTTCTGTTCTAGTTCTGTTCTAGTTCTGTTCTAGTTCTGTTCTAGTTCTGTTCAAGTTCTGTTCTAGTTCTGTTCTAGTTCTGTTCTAGTTCTGTTCTAGTTCTGTTCTAGTTCTGTTCTAGTTCTGTTCTAGTTCTGTTCTAGTTCTGTTCTTGTTCTGTTCTAGTTCTGTTCTAGTTCTGTTCTAGTTCTGTTCAAGTTTTGTTCTAGTTCTGTTCTAGTTCTGTTCTAGTTCTGTTCTAGTTCTGTTCTAGTTCTGTTCTAGTTCTGTTCTAGTTCTGTTCTAGTTCTGTTCTAGTTCTGTTCTAGTTCTGTTCTAGTTCTGTTCTAGTTCTGTTCTAGTTCTGTTCTAGTTCTGTTCTAGTTCTGTTCTAGTTCTGTTCTAGTTCTGTTCTAGTTCTGTTCTAGTTCTGTTTTAGTTCTGTTCTAGTTCTGTTCTAGTTCTGTTCTAGTTCTGTTCTAGTTCTGTTCTAGTTCTGTTCTAGTTCTGTTCTAGTTCTGTTCTAGTTCTGTTCTAGTTCTGTTCTAGTTCTGTTCTAGTTCTGTTCTAGTTCTGTTCTAGTTCTGTTCTAGTTCTGTTCTAGTTCTGTTCTAGTTCTGTTCTAGTTCTGTTCTAGTTCTGTTCTAGTTCTGTTCTAGTTCTGTTCTAGTTCTGTTCTAGTTCTGTTCTAGTTCTGTTCTAGTTCTAGTTCTGTTCTAGTTCTGTTCTAGTTCTGTTCTAGTTCTGTTCTGGTTTCTGAAATACCTTATGTAGGGTACTTCTTAAAATTCCACATAACTACATTTAAACCCATTTAGGTATACTGGCATTATTTCTCTATTCTTTGTTTAATGCAACCATTTCAATCCACTCACTAATCGTTTTTAATTAATTGCAATTTGCAAAGAATTTGCATAATAATATCAGAAACATACAAATCTACAACTATGTACCACATTAGAGTTGAAGTTTTTACTTTTTTAAATTTTTTTTCCAACAAAGTGTGTATAAATTATGTCGATAAAATTTGTACCAGTTTGAGTGCAAAAGTGTGTGGTTTGCATTTAAATAAAAAAAAAAGAAATCATTTAGAACATAATTGATTGCGTGAACAAATACGTAGATAATGTGTGTTATGGGTTTTTGTGTCTGTACAAAATTTCTATGTTTTCTGTCTGTCTATTCGGCCCCATGACGGGTTGTATGTGTTCCAGCGCCCATTTAAATTAATGTTTTTTATATTTTTCTATAAATCGCTTTTGGATTTTTATTAGTTTTCAATTATTAGTTTCAATTTTTTGCCGGCGTTTGTGCTGTTTTATTTATATTGTTGCTGCTCTATTGCTGCAATTCGCGTTTCATAATAAACCATTTGACCACTGGTTGATTAAACATTAATCTGCTTAGTTGGTTACCTAACCATTTCAATACTCATACTCGTTCTCGTTTTCATTCCGGCGTAGTTTTGTATGCAATTGTGAAACCTAAAAA